ATTTAATTTCCATTCTAGCATTACATTAAATCGTGAGGTTGATCAAATGGTAGTTTTATAATTAGAATTTCTTATAAAAACCACTCCTCTTTTTCGTTTTTTTTTACTTTGTCAACACACTCAGCGCCTCTAGTTTTCCAAATTCCTAAATCTATTAAAGACGAACAACGAAAATTAATAAAATTATTCAAGAGAAAATTTAATATTTCATACAGAAGGTATGTAGTATTAGTTTCCAACTAGTCTGTTACAGAACATGTCGCTATATTATACTATTAGTTACAGATTTCCCAGGATTATTAAGGTTAACTGTAACTTTTCCTCTTCCGATCTAGGAATAAGGTATATATAAGTCTGTGTGTACCATAAACAAAATTTATTTAATTTAGATAGCATATATATATATAATATAATATTACTGTACGTCAAGACATCTATTTTCTGCTAACATATTTAAGCCGGCATAGACATTAAATATACTTTGATCAAAAAAAAAAGACATTAAATATACAGAACATGTGACTATTACTATTACTTACAGATTTCCAAGGATTGGATTGATCCATAGCTATGTATATGTTAATTTCTCAATACTATAATGTGTTTTTGTAAAATACTCTAACTACAGAATAGATGAATAATTAAATAGTAATTTTCTTTCTATTTTTCAAAAGAAGAAAAGATAAAAAATAGTAGATAGATACCAAATTTATAGAATAAGCATTACTAAGGCTCAGATATTTTAATCTAATTCAGCTATGTATTATTATTATGTACATTTAGATTAATAGTACAACATGTTCTATAATAACTCTTTCCTTTACCTGAATTTTTCTTCTTTGTATATAAATAGATTTTAAATGTGTACAAACCTGTCGACAAAAAAAAGTGTACAAACCTAGATATCATATATATTTTAAAGAAATTCCAATTTGTAAAAAAGTACTTAAAATTCCCAAATTAAGAAAACAAAAACTAGTGAATTTCCTGCTAGAAGGGAATAGAAACATACACAATAACATAGTAAAAGAACACAAAATATATAGTACACTATAGAATATTCATGATCCGAAGCTTCAGTTAATCGTTTTAGCAACGAGTATTTTACATACTTATATTTTTTTTTTCAACCTATAGATCGAGTATTTTAGCAACGAATTAGATAGATGCAAGTTGACACCATTATAATTATTTCCATTCTAGCATTACATTGAATCATTTCATACGGTAGTTTTACAATTATAATTTCTTAAAATAAATACTCAGCTCTGGTTTTACCAATTTTAAAAATCTATTAAAGACGAACAAAAAAATTAATAAAATCTTCAAGAAAAAAGTTACTAATATTTTTTCTTATAGAACGTATATATGCACTATAATTAGTTTCAACTAGTTGTTGCAGAACATGTCCTTATATTACTGTTAGTTACAGATTTTCCAGGATTAGTAAGGTTCACTGCAACCTTTAATTTCCACTTCCGATCTAGGAAAAAGGAATATATATATATATATATATATATATATATATTCACTATTATATTAAATTATTTTATACATATAACATATATGTACAAATAAATGTAAATCATATACCTATATATATATATATCTGTGTGAATAGTGAATATATAGTAAGTTTTCTCTTAATTTAGATAGTATATATATATAATATTATCGTACTTTATAACTTCTATTTTCTGTTACATAGTTTACAACATATTAAAACAGTTACTCTGCGTAGGCATAAATACACAGAATGTGGCTATTACTATTAGTTACAGATTTCCAAAGATTAATCCATATCAAATTGGTTAAAAGAAACAAACAAAAAAGTTGAATGACTGTAATTCATATTTCTAGCTGGGTTTAATTTTCGTAATAGTGTATATTTTTAGTTGTCATATATTTAATATAATACACAAATAGAAAATATTGGCAACATCTTGAATTCAACTTAACTAGAATAGTTCAGCCTCTTTTTTGGATATAATTTTGTCTTATTTAGATTTTAGGAATCTGTGTGTTTCGAATGTATCTCACAAAGAAGATTTTAGGAATCTGTAAAATGCAATTTCTTTAGGTATCTGTGTGTTTCAAATGTATCTCACAAATTTCTGACTGTAAAAATCATTAAGTATCTTTGTCCGTACAACAAAAACATATAATGGTTTCAGTTTGTATAAATATGTCTAAACTTAGCTAAATTATTCTATCAGTAAGTATTCATCGTAGTAAATATATGCCGTACATTTAACAAATATTAATTGAAAGTACATATATTTGTGTCATATCCAATTACATTATTTTTATATTCACATAGCAGAAAATCCAGTCTTTACCATAGAAACATATAAACTTGTTCACATATCTTTATTCGTTGGAATAGAGATAAGCAAACTTGGTTAAAAATGTAGTACACTATAGAATATTCATGATCCGAAGCTTCAGTTAATTGTTTTAGCAACGAGTATTTTACCTACTTATATTTTTTTCCCAACCTATAGATCGAGTATTTTAGCAACGAATTAGATGGATGCAAGTTGACACCATTATAATTATTTCCATTCTAGCATTACATTGAATCATTTCATACGGTAGTTTGACAATTATAATTTCTTAAAATAAGTTGTCAAAAAAAAAAAAAAATTTTCTTAAAATAAATACTCAGCTCTTGTTTTACCAATTTCTAAAATCTATTAAGGGCGACCAAACAAAATTAATAAAATCTTCAAGAAAAAGTTAATATTTTTCATGCAGAACGTATGCAGTATAATTAGTTTCAACTAGTTGTTACAGAACATGTCGCTATATTACTGTTAGTTACAGATTTCCCAGGATTAGTAAGGTTCACTACAACTTCTCCACATCCGATCTAGGAAAAAGGAATATATATATATATATATATATATTCACTATTATATTAAATTAGTTTATACATATATCACATTTGTAGAAATAAATGTATATCATATACCTATATATATATATTTGTGTGTACCATAGACAAAATAGTGAATATATAGTAAGTTTTCTCTTAATTTAGATAGTATATATATATATATATAATATTATCGTACTTTATAAATTCTATTTTCTGTTAACATAGTTTACAACATATTAAAACAGTTACTCTGCGTAGGCATAGATATACAGAATGTGGCTATTACTATTAGTTACAGATTTCCAAGGATTAATCCATATCAAATTGGTTGAAAGAAACAAACAAAAAAGTTGAATGACTGTAATTCTATTTCTGTTCGGTTTAGTTTTCTTAACAGTGTATATTTTTAGGTGTCTTATATTTAATATAATACAAAATTAGAAAATATTGGCAACATCTTGAATTCAACATAAATATAATAGTTCAG